GATAGATAGATAGATAGATAGATAGATAGATAGATAGATAGATAGATAGATAGATAGATAGATAGATAGATAGATTCAAACAAGCTATCTATCATTGGATCCTTTAACACCAGAAGGCAACTGTTCACCTCCCTAAGAATGAACCAAGTTTATCTACTTATTCTATAATATTTCACCATCGAATGGAGATTATTTGTTGGAGAAAGAAGGTGTCCCCAATTCCTAGATGTTGGTTGCCCTGCAAAATGTTACACGGACCATTTCTTTTTTTTCCCTCTCCCTTCTCTCTCTCTCTCTCTCTCTCTCTTGGCTGTGCCTTTCTCCCGTTTGCCTGCCTTTCCCCCTTGCCTGTCACCCAGCATTTGCATCACTTACCGCACGCTCCATTTACACCTGCACCACTTTCCCCAACAGAGAAGCGCCAGTATAATTGTTAAAACCCCTGGCCCGCCTTCAACTCTTGTGAGCATCAAAGAGAACGTTTCAGCTAAGGGCGTTTTCCTTTTCTCCCCCTGGCTTTAGATTTCCAAACTACCGGGAAAGCTGGAGGCAGAAGTGGTCGAAAACGGGGAAAATTTTTCAGTGGGGGAACGACAGCTGCTCTGTCTGGCGAGAGCCCTCCTGCGAAACTCAAAAGTGAGTCCTGCCGGGATCTGACTTTATTCCGGCTGGTCTTGAATACTTGAGAGTCTCTTGAAGCTAAAAGATGGTTCAGTCTGCCTTTTCAGCTAGTTTGGCAGTTATGGTGAAGGGACATTAAAATGCTGTCTCCTGCCTTGGGCAGGGGGCTGACTAGAAGACCTCCAAAGTCCCTTCCAGTCCTATGATGCTATGACACTACTATTTAGCACTTGGCAATAGCACTTAGACTTATCTACTGCTTCACAGTGCTTTACAGACCTCTCTAAGCGGTTTACAGAGTCAGCCTGTTGCCCCCCAACAATCTGGGTCCTCATTTTACTGACCTCGGAAGGATGGAAGGCTGAGTCACTCTTGAGCCGGTCAGGATCGAACTCCTGGCAGTGGGCAGAGTCAGCCTGCAGTACTGCATTCTAACCACTGCACCACCACGGCTCTTATTTAAAGGCAAGTTACATTACATCCCTGGTGTTTATATAGATTATACACAAAACAAGGCTCTAAGCAGAAGCAGGGATGATTCTGGGGGTCGGCAATGGTTCAGATTGGGGATTTGACTCAACCAAATCTCCAACTCAGCTCAGATGAACCAATCTGGTGGTCAGTTCAGATCAGATTTGGATGAAAGCTGATGACCCAGTAGCCCTTTGTACCTATGCAAAAAGGCTTTCTTCATAAATCTAATCAGGTTTTGAAGTGTCACGACTCTTTGGAGGATATTGGGACTTCTGACAGACCCTTTTGGGCCTGACCGAACACAAGGGCGATTCTTCTTGTTGTCTTCCATCCTGAAGGCAGGACAAGAAGCAACGGATGGAAACTAATCAAGGAGAGAAGCAACCTAGAAATAAGGAGAAACTTCCTGACAGTTAGAACAATTAACCAGTGGAACAGCTGGCCTTCAGAAGTTGTGAATGCTCCAATGCTGGAAGTTTTTAAGAAGAGACTGGGCAACCATTTGTCTGAAATGGTATAAGGTTTCCTACCTGAGCAGGGGGTTGGACTAGATGACCTCCAAGGTCCCTTCCAATTCTGTTATTCTGTTATGGTCAGTTATGAAAGTGGAGGGAGCTTTCAAGCACCTGGCTCTGTAAAAGCTCTCTTCAGTAATTTTATCGGGCCCTCATCTTAACTTTACTCTGATTTTTTTTTTCCTAAGGGGCCTTACTCTGCGTTTTATTTAAGCAATTGTTTGCGTATTTAAGAGACTCGTTGGAATATTTAAACACTCGCTTCGGTGATTGGTTTCACCTCGCTCAAAGGATGGACTGTTTAAATTACACTGCAGTTCCAACACTATCGTAATAATGTTTTTATTTTATTTTGTTCATCTGCTCAGGTAGAACAGCCCTGCCGCTATTCCAACCAATTCTGGTGCATTCAAAAGGCCTGGTTCTGTTCCCTTTCCGGCCCCTGCTGTCCCTGGGGCTGCCATTCTTTCTGCAAAAGGAAGATGGTGCTGTTGTTTAAAGGGCCAGCAGGCTCTCTCCGCGCGTGCAGAATGTCAACTCTACCTGATCTTGTTAATACGGAATCCAAATATTTGTTTGGTTAAATAGGCTCTAAGGAACAACAGGTTTACTCTGTATCTCTGCTTGGCATGCTGCTTTTCGTTCCAAAAATATTTGTTCTGACATTTTGCTGTTCGGTACCTCACCGAAAAGCCCTTACGGCTTCTCTCAAATCTATAGAACATCATCCAGTGTAAATATGCAAATATATATATTGCTGAAATCTTTATGAATGCTCTTAGAACTGCCTGCCCGGAGGAACGTCCGCACATAATATTTTAATCCCCGGAAGGCGCAGAGGGTTCATGAGCACCTTCCAAGGGAGAGAGATCTCTACAGACACAAGGGATTGTTCCATTTCTGTCTCTCCACTTGGGTGCGTACACATGATCATAGGCAGAGATCCCGGGCCAAGTTACTCCAGGAAACATGAGACTGTTTGCAGCTTCTTCTGTCTTTGCTAAGCAAAGCCAGGAATGTTTTGATTATGACATTTGCAGCCTTGATTCACCAGAGGAGAGGTCCCCAACCTTTTGGGCACCAGGGATCGGTTCTACGGAGAGAGGTTTTCCTCTGGACCAGAGGGTGCGTGGTTTTGTGTGCTGCCTGCATCCCATGGATGCTGGCATGCCGTGGCCCGGTACTAGTCCATGGACCGGGGGTTGGGGACCCCTCCACTAGAGCCAGTATGTTGCAGTGGTGAATGCACCAATCTAGAAACCAGGAGACTCTGAGTTCTAGTCCTGCCTTGGGCACAAAACCAGCTGGCTGACCTTGGGCCAGTCACTTTCTCTCAACCCTAGGAAGGAGGCAATGTCAAGCCGCTTTTGAAAAACCTTACCAAGAAAACTACTCCAGGCAATCTCCAGATGAAGAGATTGGACCACCATTTATCCAAAACGGTATAGGATTTCCTGTCTGAGCAGGGGGTTGGACTAGAAGACCTCCAAGGTCCCCTTCCAACACCGTTATTCTGTTATTAAGTCAAAAACTTACTTGAAAACCAACACCAACAACGAAGCCTCAATTCACACAACACAATATTTAGGGGTATTTGAATAAACCGCGGTTCTCTTTGTTTGGGCAACATGTGTCATCTGCACATGTTACTATGGCTAGATTCACACAGCACCTTAATTCCAAACTAAGCCGACCGCAGTTCGTCAATGCATTACCATCATTGTAAAACCCAAAGGTGCTTTTTCAAAAGGTAACTGGACTTTGTTTTCCCTTGAGGACATGTCATTTCTCATCCAAGAAGCTTCTTCAGTTCTGACTGAATGGCGGAGGATGGAAGGATTTATATTCTTTGTAGTCATCTGGTCGTTAGTACTCATTCTGAGAGTTGTTGAGGCCCCTTAGAGGTTTATCTGTGTCCTCAGAGTCACCTGAATCGTGCAAATGGGTGTGGAATTATTCACTGTAACACTATTCAGGTGTTATAAATCTCCAAGGGGCTTCAACAACTCTCAGTAAGAGTGCTAACGAGCAGATGACTGCAAGGAATATAAATCCTTCCATCCTCCACCATTCAATCAGAACTGAAGAAGCTTCTTGGATGAGAAGCGAAGCGTCTCCAAGGAAAAACAAAGTCCTGTTGCCTTTTGGAAAAGCGCCGTTGGGACAATCATGACCTGGATGACTGAGAATCTCCAGAAACAGTCATTGTAAGACCATCTTTGCGCATCAGCCCTCCAGTTGGCGAGTTGCCTTGGCTACTTTTGTGCACCAACATTCGTTTACTTTTCCTTACTTGCCCTTGTAGAAAAAGAAGACCGCCGCCCAACCTGTTTGAATTCTCCCCGCAGATTATTCTCCTTGACGAAGCCACCGCTTCTATTGATTCCGAGACAGATATGCAGATTCAGAGGGCCAACCAAGAAGCATTTGTAAACTGCACAGTCTTGACAATAGCGCACCGCCTAAACACCATTAAAGAGTGCGACCGCATTTTGGTGCTGGATAAAGGCAAGGTATTGAACCGGGAAAGGGGGGGGGAAATCTACAGAAGACCCAGTTTATCAAGTAACTCAGGGGTAGTCAACCTTGGCTCTTTTATGACTCGTGGACTTCAACTCCCAGAATTCCTGAGCCAGCTTAGCTGGCTCAGGAATTCTGGGAGTTGAAGTCCACGAGTCATAAAAGAGCCAAGGTTGACTACCCCTGATTTAGTAACTGATGTATTAGACATTGGGATTATTTTCAGAAAAGTATTCTTTTGGGTCCTTTTTAACAATAAGGATTCGTTTCGCGGAAAAGGGGAAATGATTTATTTTTCTCTTAAGTAAACAATATAGGAGAAAGGGTGAAATGCACTTTATTCATAACCAACACCCCAGTAGGCACCCAAATAATATTGGGGGGGAAAATACAAAAATGAATGCAAACAATCTTAACATGAACTAAAGAGATAGGAAGCTAGCACTGATGAGGTTATCTAGTTGGGTAATGAAACGTCTGCAAGAGAACAACCAAGCTCAGAGAACACCAATGACCCCACATCCCTCCCCCCTCCTCCTCCTCCTCCTCCTCCTCCTCCTCCCTACAAACCCCACTGCCTTCTAGCACTGATAATGTTACGAAGTTGGGTAATGAAACGTCTGCAAGAAAA